TCTACGACAATTCTGTGTTGAATGCAGTACTTTGGGACATCTTGCATTATTCCCTACTGCATCGTACACAACCTCAATATTCCACTTGTACAGTATCTTTTCCTGTTTGTGTGGATACAGATTGTCCGACAGACTTGCGCCCGGCATACTTGCGTCAAATCCCGACATCTTGCACGATCAAAGTCCGATCGCACGTGTCGAAAACCTCGTACTTGAATAGTTTCTTTTGGAACGTAAAAACTCATATTTCGTCATATCCCAACAGAATGCAGTACTTTTGGACATCTTGCATTATTCCCTACTGCATCGTACACAACATCGATATTCCACTTGTATAGGGTCTTTCCCTTTTTGTGTGGATACAGATTGTCCGACAGACTTGCGTCCGGCAGACTTGCGTCAAATCCTGACATCACAATCAAAGTCTGATCGAACGTGTCAAAAACTTTGAACTTGAATAGTTTCTTTTGGAACGTAAAAACTCATATTTCGTCATATCCCAACAGAGCCGAGCAAAAAACTTTGCACAAACAATACCCAGTACGGTTTGTACCAATACAACCGAATGGCAATGGGATTGAAACCGGCTCCTGATTTTGCCCAAAACTCTACGCGACCTAAAAGAAAAAGATGTTGAAATTTATATTGACTATGTTGGCCTGTTCTCCAATTCCTACAAAGAACATATGGCCTCGATCCAAGAAGTGTTGCAGCGACTACAAGCTGCTGGGTTCAAGATCAATCCCTTGAAGTGCGAGTGGTGTGTCCAAGAAACTGACTTCTTGGGCCATTGGTTGACTCCTTCAGGAGTCAACCCGTGGAAGAAAAAGATTGATGCCATCCTCAAGATGTCAGCGCCTACCAATGGAACAGAATTGCGTGCATTTCTTGGTGCTGTTACCTTTTACCGCCACATGTGGCTGCGTTGATCTCATCTTCTCAAACCCCTCACAGAGCTAACAGGCAAAGGAATGTTTGAATGGACTGATGAGTGCGCCAAAGCTTTCGCTGAAATGCGTTTGTATTTTTGTTTTTTGGAATATGTACATTGTTTGAAAGAATTTCGGTCTATGGTGTATGGAGCCAAATTAACTATTTTTACTGATCATACAAATCTCACAATGCGAACGTTGAACACACAACGAGTTCTTCGTTGGCGTATGTTTGTTGAAGAATTCGGCCCCGATTTTGTCTATTTGCCAGGAAAAGAAAACGCGATTGCCGACTGCTTCTCTCAGCTTCCGCAAATGGAGAAGCCGTCTGAAGGAAAGAGTCCAAATAAGGGTAAATTGATTGCGTTTTATAAATTACAGGTTTCTGTTGATCCCGAAGACAAAATCTACACGTTTGAAGATAATGCCACCAACAGAAGCCAAGTTCAACAGTACCTTTTGATGTCAGTTCTCCTGTTGCCAAGATGGAGATATTCATGAACATCTGACCATTGACAACATTGAAATGGAAGAGTCCTTTTTGAGTCATCCTCCTCTACAAACGATGCCAAACCCAATCACAATGCCAAACATTCAACAACATCAAACTCAAGATCAACTGCTCATGCAACGAGCTCAATGCGATGCACAGCACTACCAGATCGAGACAATTGACGAGCGACTCATCATCACCTATCAAATCAATCCTGCACGTCAAGACAATTGGAGAATTTACTTGCCTTTGAGTTTGGTTGATGATGTAATCACCTGGTATCACCTTGTGCTTGGACACAGAGGAAAAACGTCAATGTATGCTACAATTGCAAAGCGATTCTATTCTCCTGGATTGAAGCAACAAATTGAACAATTCAACTGTGAGGGAGATTTGCCAACTCAATAAAGCGGCAAATGTTCAATATGGACAGCTACCTGAACGACACGCGGATTTGGTTCCATGGTTCTCACTTGCTGTTGATTTGATTGGTCCATGGAAAATTGACTTCAACGGTAGAGAGCTTGAATTCAACGCGTTGACTTGTATTGATCCCATGACAAATCTCACTGAACTTGCTTTTATCCAGAATAAAACTGCAGCACACGTGGCAAATGTGTTCGAAATGCTGTGGTTGTCGCAATATGCGAGACCATACAAATGTATTCACAATCAAGGAGGCGAATTCATTGGCAAAGCTTTTCAAGCGAAACTTGCTACTTGGGGAATCCATGATGGCCGAACCACTAGCAAGAATGCGACTGCAAATGCGATCTGTGAACGAATGCATTTGACAGTGGCAAACATTTTGAGGACCAGATACAACAATGCTGCTCCAAACTTTCAAGTCGCTGTTGAAGAAATCAAGCGAGCTCTTGCTGCTTGCAATCATGCAATGAGATGTGCTGTATCGACAGCATTGATGAACAATACTCCTGGTG